GCCCTTACCCTTAAAGTGGCAGGAACCAAAGGTGCACTGCCACAGTGTGTGTGTATATGTATATGGCAAATAGTATTGATACACAGTAATAGCAGATAAGAATAATACAAACAAATCTATATCTACCAGTCCCAGGGTTCACAGAGTCAAGGTGCATCTGGCCAATATGCAAGCTTCACTCAGGTTCTCTCTTGAATGTCAGATGTCAGCTTCCAGTACCAGGTCGAGCAGCGCTTTGCCTCTCGTTGGCCCATAGACTTCTTGAGTCAGGTAGAGGTCATCCACGCACGAGAGGAAGCTCTGCAACTGCTCAGATTTTCCCACGAGATGTCTAGGTAATTGAAGTCACCCATGACAACCATGGTCCTGGAGCAAGCTGCCTCAGCCAGTTCCTGGGCAAACTCCTGGTCAAGCTCAGGACTTTGGGTGGGAGGTCTGTAATAGACTCCCACCATTGTGTCCCCTGTGCCGTGTTCCCCACGGATTTTAACCCAGAGGGTCTCCAGCCGTCCACCCTGGTCGCCAATATCAGCTTGCAGGGATGTGTAGCTTTCCTTAACATAGAGAGCTACCCCCCCGCCCCTTTTCTCTACACGATCCCTCCTGTACAGGGTATAGCCATCTATCCCCGTGGTCCAGTCATGGGTGGAGTCCCACCAGGTCTCTGTTATCCCTATGACATCGTAATTGTTTGCACTGAGCAGGAGGATGAGCTCCTCCTGCTTATTCCCCAAGCTCCTGGCATTAGTGTACAGGCAGGCAAGTGCCCCCTGGGGGCTCCTTCCTTGCCCACAGATTTTACCAGGGCTGGGGCAGGGGTGGGCTCCCTGAAGCGCCGTGATCTGCTGGCTTTGGAAGGATTGCAAAGTTGCTTTACAATGAGCTGTTTGCAAGCCTTTCCTTCTGCCATATTCTGAAGCTGTGGCACTGAGGATCCAAAGGGCCCCATGCTTGCCTTGAGAGTCCCTTTTCTTGGCTTTTGGGCACCACCTAATACACACTCAAGTGGTAGCCTAGAGTTAATGGGCACCTGGGCTGCTCCTGCTAATCCCCTCACACCTTCCTCCCCTGCATTGGGGCTTGTGTTTCTCAGCCCTCCCTCTCCCAACCAGAACAATTCCTAAATGGGTGGGAGGTGGCACAGGAGGTTAAGGCCTGTAGGTGCCAAAGAAACTGCGGCAGCTAGCTTCCCTGCTCGGAGTATGGCCAACAGCGCTAAAGGGTTTGTGGGACTGACTCTCCAGTCTCCATCTGTAACTAGCAAAGCCTCTTTGTACGACTTCATGAAGATACAGCTAGCAGGAGGTTACTAGACTCGTTTTCAAAGCATTTTCTTCTGCTGTGGGGCTGTTGACCAATTAGAGAAACAGATAATTAACAGGCCAGTTTCTAGCATGTGGAAGGCATATTCCATTTGTGGTTGACTTGAGGTGCCTATAACACAAAAGGCAAAGTGCTGAGAATTAGCCACAACTAGTGTTGATATTCTTCTCACTTGCCTGCCAGCCCCAGGGGATTAAAGGGAAGTAGAAAACAACATGGATAAGACACAGGTGATGGCACAAGTTAGATGTGTATAGGTAAGCCAAGGTAATCCTCCAGCCAAGTATTGCCACCCAGCCTCATCTAACTAAGCAATTGCGGCTGCCAGCATGCCCTTGCATTCATTTATCCACAACTGGTCAGATACAAGGCCCTTTCTTTCCACGACTGCTATGGCTTCCATATTAGTGTAGTGTAGTACAGTGTGCATGGGGCTTCACACAGAAGCCAGAGGAAAACTCCATCAAGTGCAAAAAAGGGCCTATGTTGCAAGTTAACATTAGATTCCATCTGCCTGTGGTTAGGAGACAGTGCTGAGCTCAAGAACCACAACAGGAACAGATGAAAGCAGCTGAACAGCTGACATTGGAATGAAAAGGTATACAATTTATTCTGTTCATCCACACCTCACCTTGCTCGGAGGCCTGGTTTGTTGAGCCTCCACTTGCAGACAGAGCTAGGATCAGTCTGTTTCCAGGGTCCCTATACACAGGGAGCGCTCTTTTTAGTTTTAACATGTACATACCATGTCAGGCTATGATTCTGGACACACATACAGCATCAGGAAGCAGACAGTGCTGGTCCATGTTCATTCTCTCCCCACAAAGCAAGATATCTCAACTTGTGGAAAGGTATTCGCATAAACCGGAGACTTTCTGACTGTAGCCAGGAGCAGGCTCTGGCAGCAGAGCCCTGCAGGCACATATCTCAAACTCCTTTATTCCTTCTGCATGTTCATAGAATCAGAGAAGTAGGGTCGGAAGGGACCTTGTAGATCTTCAAGTCCGATCCCCTGCCTGGGCAGGAGCAAAACTGGGTTCAAATGACCCCAGCCAGGTAGGCATCAAGCCTCTTCTTAAAGACCCCCAGGGTAGGAGCTAGCACCACTTCCCTTGGAAGTTGGTTCCAGATCCTAGCCGCCCTAACTGTGAAGTAGTTCTTACAGATGTCTAATCTAAACCTACTCTCCAACAACTTGTGGCTGTTATTCCTTGTTATCCGGGGGGCGCTAGGGGAAACAAGGTCTCCCCCAAACCCTTCTGGTCCCCCCTAGTGAGTTTATAGACAGTCACAAGGTCACCCCTCAGCCTTCTCTTGTGAAGGCCGAACAGGTTCAGGTCCTGTAGCCTCTCATTGTAGGGTCTGCCCTGCTGCCCCTGGATCATGCGGGTGGCCCTCCTCTGGACCCTCTCAATGTTGTCCACATCCCTCTTGAAGTGGGGTGCCCAGAACTGGACACAGTACTCCAGCTGGGGCCTGACCAGTGTCACGTAGAGGGGGAGGATCACCTCCTTGGCCCTACTTGAGATGCACCTGTGGATGCACGATAAGGTCCGGTTAGCCCTGCCGACCGTGACCTCGCATTGTCGGCCCATGTTCATCTTGGAATCAGTGATGACTCCAAGATCCCTTTCTGCCTCTGTGCTCTCAAGAAGGGAGTTTCCCATCTTATAAGTGTGCTGCCGGTTACTACTGCCCAAGTGCAGCACCCTGGACTTGTCCATATTGAAATGCATCCTGTTTTTGTTAGCCCACTCTTACAACCTATCCAGGTCTTTCTGCAGTCTTTCCCTTCCTACTAGCAGGCCCACCTCACCCCAAATTTTGGTATCATCAGCAAATTTGAATGGGTTGCTTTTCACCCTGTCGTCCAAATCGCTGGTAAAGAAATTGAACAGCATGGGCCCAAGGACCGAGCCCTGGGGGACTCCGCTGTCCACTTCCCCCCAGGTCAAATATGACCCGTCCAACACCACTCTCCGAGTATGACCCTTCAGCCAATTTGCAATCCATCTGACTGTGTACTTAGTCAGGAGTGACAGGACTCTTTGGTAATAAATGGCTATTCCACACTCATGCCTGTGAAACAGGCAAGTAAATCAATCAAAGGTTAGAGCTGGAAAAACTCCATTAAATACCATCCAGCCCAGGAACCATTTTCTAATGTTTTGGACATAGGGGTTTCCTTCCTTAGGAGGTACTGCTCCACCTCCAACAGCAGGTTGCACTAGCCAAGGTCAGCTGCTTCCACTTTTAGATTTAATTTTATTTTTCTAGACCTGGTTTTCCTCCTTTGGCAACCCTTAATATTCTTCCCCCGCTCCCCCCACCCTCCCAACCAAAATCTCCATCTAGCTGCAGGAAGAACTAACAGTATCCCCAAGCTGCAGAAATTACTTTTTCAAAGCTTCTCCATAGCCAATGACTCCAGCTCCCCCAACTCTTGAGACCTTGCTTTGTCCTTCCCTATTCTAGCAAGGCAATGCCTATGAGCAGCTATCCAGTTACAGCAATTCCAGTGTCAGAGAGGGGGAACAGGCCCTCCCTGTTTTGTGACAAAAGACCTCTGCATTTGCAGCCAATTTCCATTAACTCATGTCTAGTTACCTAGGGTCTTTTCGATGCAAGACTGCTGCAAGGCCAGGATTAAACAGATGGGAGGTCTCAGCCCCCTATTAATGACTATGATAGAATCAAACCAATTTCCTCCATCCCTCACTCCCATACAGAGAAGGTAAAGCTGTGGCCCTGCCATAGCGAAAAACAAAACAAAAAAACAGGGAAAAATAAGGGCAAATACTTCAAAGAAGGCAGCAAGCAGAACTTGGTGCCTGAAAAAAACCTCAGTGCCTGAGAGGACAGAAGTGACGTAACTTCAACCTAACAGCTAGAGACACCCTCCACCAACAGCAGGAAAGAGGTTTAGTGAACCAGTTCCCTTGAGTGCAGAGTTTAGGCAGGAGAAAAAAAGTTTCAGCCCACAATGGCAGCAGATGTCCAGGGGAGGGCCCACCACAGAGCCCACCCTGAACACAGCTCTCTTCTGCTCATGCTGTGAGCTGTTCCAGTACCATGGAAGCTCCACCCCAGTGCTGAACTCCTGTTCCTCTCCCCAACCCCAAACACTCCCCACCTTTTCATCACTTCCCACTTATTTCACTTAATCCGTTGCGTTAAATACTTTAATTACAAGTTCTGTGTAGAGGGTAGGAGTAATAGACCCTGCAGGCACTAGCAACCCCCTCACCAATACATGTGCGTGCTATTGGACTAAAGGTATGTCCTCCCCCTTCCCCTCCGCCCCCATCAAACCAGCAGCTTTGGGCTAGGATACGCATTTTTTCTTGGGGACTTGGCCCTGCCCCCGACAGTCTCATGGCACAGGGCAAGCCAAGCCCTTGTACACAGGGAGTCAACAGTTTCATTCAACAATACTGGGCTGTAATCATTCAAGGACAGCTGCAAGGGCTGTTTATATAACCAGAACCACTGGTAGGTAGTGGACTGAGGGATGGAGCTACCTGTGCAGGTGGTGGTCACTAGTCCTGGTAGGCATTAAAAGCCCAGACTGGACAGACATCTTGCATCAGAGACCAGGCTAGAATACAATGAAGCCTCAGAGTCAGAGGGAGGGGACAGCAGAACCAGAGAGGGAACAGGAGCCCAAGTCCTAATGGGTGCCTTTAACCAAGATGGCAAGGCCCCCTGCAAGCACCACAGCATGGCTCCAATCACCAGAGCAGAACAGAAATATGATCCAAACCTGCCTAAGACAGTGTGGGGACCCCACACTGACTTGGCAGGGCAGACCAGTGGGAGATGCTGTGTCCCTGTACATTGTAAAGCAGTAACCTCTT